GGAACCCGGGGCCTCAAACAAGCTACGCAAGCGCTCTGCCACTAGCTATATCCCCAGCCCATGCACACCCACTGAGTAAAATCTGCCTTATGGTCTTTCAAAAAAAATAACATTTCAATAATATAAAAAAACTTTGTTCCTATAGAGCTCTGTTTCCTGTTCCCTACTTTGTGCTGTTTTTCTCATTTGGGATTTTTTTGGGCCAAGGGGGCGGTGCTGCTAGGGGGCGGACCCAGGGCTTTGTGCATGGGAGTGAAGTGCTCTGCCACTGAGCTGTACCCCCACCCCGTTATTTAAATTATAACTTTATGTGCTTTGTGTCCATTAAAATAGATTTTAAGTATTGAATTGCGTGATAGTCTTTTAAATCAGATAGAAAAAGGAGTTACCTTTTAGGAGAAAAATGCACTTGTGTGGCCTGAGGTTCATCCTGTATTTCTTATTGGTACTCTGCATTTCTTCGAGTGGACTCAAGTTACTCTGCTCTCCTTTCACTTCAGTCTGAAGGACTGACTTTATTATGTCTGGCAAGACAGGTTGGCTAGCAGCACTTTTGTTTGTATGAGAATATCTTTAATTTCCCCTCCTTTTTAGAAGACACCTTTGTTGGGTCTATCGTCTTGGTTGACCGATTTCTTTACTTTTAGCACTCTGAATGTTTGGGGGGAGCCTTCTACCCTCCAGGGTTTCTGATGAGATTAACAGATTAGCAGACAATTAATCTTGTCACAGATCCTTTGTATGGGATGAGTCATTTCTCTCTTCCTGCTTTTGAGATTCTTTGTCCATCTTTGGTGATTTGATGATTATGTATCTGGTTGTGGATGTCCTTGAGTTCATCAAACTTCCTGGGAGTGTAGATTAATGTTTTCATCAAATATGGAAACACCTCGACTATAATTTTTATTTATTTATTTATTCTTTTTTTTTTTAAAGAGAGAGTGAGAGAGGGGAGAGAGAGAGAGAATTTTTAATATTTATTTTTTAGTTCTCGGCGGACACAACATCTTTGTTGGTATGTGGTGCTGAGGATCGAACCCGGGCCGCACGCATGCCAGGCGAGCGCGCTACCGCTTGAGCCACATCCCCAGCCCTATTTATTTATTCTTATGTGGTGCTGAGGATGGAACCCAGAACCTTACACTTGCTAGGCAAGCACTGTACCACTGAGCCCCAGCCCCAGCCCGATCTCTCCTCTCCTCAGACCCTGGGGCTTCGTTGTGCACCACGGCATCTGAGCTCTGCTCATTTTCTTCATTCTGTTTTCATTCTATTGCCCTGACAGGATAATCTCAACTGACCTATCTAAAAGTTCACAGATTCAGGACAAGTGACACATACTCATAGTCTTCACTGCTTAGGAAGCTGAGGCAGGGGGTCATAGGTCCAATGGCAGACTGGGCAACTTAGTGAGACCCAGTCTCAAAACAAAAAATTTTAAAAAGTGGGCTTGGGGTATAGCTCAATAGTCAAGTGTCCATGGGTTCAATTCCCAATAGACTAAAAAAAAAATTTAAAAATAGAAATTCACAGAGTCTTTGCTCTGCCTGCTCAGATCTGGCACTGCAACCTTCTGCCAAGTTTTTAATTTCAGGTATACTTTCCAACTCCAGAATTTGGCTCATTTTTACAATTTGATATTCTCTACTTGGTGAGACCTCTTTCTCCTGGTTTCTTTGTCATGGTTTCCATGAACTCTTTGAGCATATTTAAGACAATTTATGTTAAAGTCTGTATAATAGGTCCAAAGTCTGGGTTTTCTGAGAATAGTTTCTGGCAACCAACCCCATCTCCTTTTTGCTTTCTTTTTTTTTTTTCCCTGTGAATGAGTCACACCTCTTGTTTCTTGCATGCTTTGTGATTTTATCCTCAAAACCAGACATTTTGAATATTATTATTCAGTAACTGAAAATCAGATTCTTTTCCCACCTAGACATGTTGCTACTCATTGCAGGTTATAGTTTGTTTGTTTAATTACTTTTCTAAAGAGTTTTTGCAAAGACTGTATTATTACTATTTTATTATTTTTGGTACTGGGGATTGAACTCAGGGGGGCTTAGCCACTGAGCCACATCCCCAGCCCCTTTTTATATTTTATTTTGAGACAGGGTCTTACTAAGTTGCTTAGGGCCTTGCTAAATTGCTGAGACTGGCTTTGAACTTGGGGTCCTCCTGTCTCAGCCTCCCAAACTTCTGGGATTACAGGTGTGTGCCACTGTGCCCGGCAAGACTATATTATTTTATTGTATGTTGTTATCGGGTCTTTTTTCTTTTGTAGTCAACTGATGGTTTCATAAGGACTTTCTTTTAGCACCAGGAGTCAAAAGAAAAACTGAGAGGAAAACTCACGGGGCCTGCGGACAGGCCGTGCAGGGTGCTCCTGCAGCATTTTGACAGGCTTTGCCCCAACTCTGCTTGCTGATTATGGGGAGCCAAAAGATGAGCCAGAGGTGGAAGCCTAGCATTTCCCAGGTCTTCCCTAGCATGTGACTGGCCCGGGAGTGTGTGTGGCCTCTCTATTCTCCTGTTCACATGGGAGCTTTTCCTGCCTCTGATCCCTCATCCCTCTCCTTCCCTGGCCTCTTCCTTCCCAAGCTCTGCAGTATCTCTGCTGTTTGTTCCATCTGTCACCCCTTGCCCTAGGTGGCAGTGACCAGCATATTTGCCTTTAAGTGCTTTTCTGAGGTCACTCTAGCCCTGAGAAAGTTCTGAGAGGAGCGAAACAAAGTTAAGGCCTGAGTAATTATCTCTGGAAGCCACCAAACAGATCAGATGCATGACCAGGGGCTGGGACTGTCACTCAGTGGTAGATCACATGAGGTCCTGGGTTCTGTCCTCAGCACTGCAGAAACAAACAAAAAATGATCCCAGTTCTTTGAGAACAAATTCATATCTCTGCCTGCTCCATGCCTCTCCCATGGCTGCCTCTGAGCAGGGAGTGGGGGGTGACGAGCACCAAGTTAAAAAGACAGAACAGGACCTTGTGACGCTCAGCAGCATGTGCTTCCTTCGGTCCTTACCTGATTATTGGTAGTTTTGTTGCTGTTTTTTTCATATTTGTGGCTTTTGTTTCTGTTTTTGAACTGAGGTCTTGCTGTGTTGCCTTGCCTGGCCCCAACACCTGAGCTGAGCAAACCCTCCTGCCTCAGCCTCCCAAGTTGCTGGGACCACAAGCGTTGTCCATTGTCCCCAGCTCTTGTTAGCTTTTTTATTAGACTCATTCTTTTTTTTTTTTTTGTAGTTGTAGATGGACAGAGTGCCTTTATTTTAATTTTTATGTGGTGCTAAGGATTGAACCCAGTGCCTCAGCATGCTAGACATGCACTCTGCCCTAAACTCATTCTTGCATTTGCAGATTTGGGGGATTTCTGCTCACCATTTTGTTGACAATGCTTCTGGGTGTGGGCGTTTTGTAGTATTTTCACATTGATGGGTTGTCCTCTAAAAGGAATAAATTATTGTGTGCATGCTTACGATCCCAATGTCTTAGGAGGCTGAGATAGGAGGATTTTAAGTTCAAGGCAAGTCTGGGCCTCAACACAAAAAATAAAAAGAACTGGGAACATAGCTGAATAGTAGAGCACCCCTGGGTTCAATCCCAGTACAGAAAATAAAAACGAATAAAAGGAATAAACCATTTTAAGTGCTAGCAGTAATTAATTTCCTTACAACCATTACTACAACCATTTGTTGTAGTAAATTTTATTTTATTTTAAATTCTTCCACTATTGTTGCATTTGGGCTCTTGTTGCGATAGTGCTTGTTTTTTTATAAACTCTTTTTTTTTTAATATTTATTTTTTAGTTTTCGGCGGACACAACATCTTTGTATCGGGTGCTGAGAATCCAACCCGGGCTGCACACATGCCAGACGAGCGCACTACCGCTTGAGCCACATCCCCAGCCCCTTTTATAAACTCTTGCTTTCTTTGATCAGGAGACTAGGCTCTCATCTGTTCTGCTGCTGTCTGGGCCTGGGCCTGGGCCTGGTCTGGTGGAGCTGTCTTGTGTGTGGCTTGGTCCATCATGGCTGGGCATGCCTAGTTTCTTACACTGGAAGAGGCTTGCTGGGTCAGTCCCAGAGTCCCTTTAAATCATCTATCCATTCAGCAAAAATGCACAGATGTGCCAGGTGTGTATTGGTGCTTGGGAAACTGTGGGGACCAGCTAGCTGTGCCTCCCACCTTATCCACAGACATCCTTACAGGGAAGTGATGCCAAGCAAGCAAGATGTGCAGGGTGCCATTGTAACCGAAAGCTCAGTCCCTGTCCCCAATACCAGTCAACTGACGATTTAATAATGAGGACACGGTTTTGAGAAGAAGAAAAAGAAGGTTTATTGCTTTGCTGGCAAAGGAGAAAAACAAAGGCTGTGACTCTCCAGATCAGGAAGGACAGGGAGGTTTTAAAGGAACTTCCAAGAGTTACATTCCAGATGTGTTCTGGTAGGGGGGGTCCCAGGGCACTCTGATAGCATGTTAGGATTCACTTGTTAATTTGGGAGATATTCACTTCCCAGATCCTTAGCAGGAATCTTCTTCCTGTAGTGTGTATATTCAAGGGTAATTAACCAGGGGGAAGAAAAGATAACATTTTCTTTCTAATCTTGTTATGGAGGGGGAGAGGGGAAAAGAAAGGAAAAAAAAAACATTAAAAAAAAATAAATAAACCTTAGAGTAACGAGGTCTGATTCAGAAGATGAAGGGACACTGTTGCACCATCTCAGAACATGGCTTTCCTGTTGCGTGGTACTGGCTTTAGTTTTATGCAGGTTTTTAAACAGGTTAATGTTCTTACACTTGCCCATTATGTCCTTGAAATGAGAAGTAATGTCACACCCCCACCACCACAGTCACTTGGCCTTGGTGGTGTCCCAGGGCTCTGTTGTGAGGGGGACTTGAAGGAAGAGTCCCTCCCAGGCACCTCTGGCCAGGCGGCCTCTCTGGGTAATGCAGGGAGCAGAGCCTTAGCTTTCTCCTGGGGGTTTGCCTCACCTGACAGGGTTCCTTCCAGGACAGAGTGTCCCACAGTTGGAAGATGGCCAGGCCCCAGAAGACTGTGCTAGCCCTTCCTTGGAGAGAAGGTAGGTGTCCCTGTCTTGCATGGTAGAGCCCTACTCAGGGTGGCACCCATGGGGGATGGAAAGCCCTGGCTGGGGATTTCCCTTGCATCCTACCTGTGGCAAATCCCAGGCTGCCCTCTCCTCAGCCTGGCTTTGTGTCTGGGATGATGGCAGGCAGACTGGACATCTCAGACTTCGTCTTATCCGCAGGGGTCCAGGCAGCCACTGTCATGCCCATCTTCTTGCCTAACCTGAATCACAGCTTTTTGGACCATCCCCTGGGCCAGGGGCTCCTCCGCCCCTCCCGACGGCTCTGCAGCCCCACCTTGGCTCCAACTCCCAAGTCACCCAAGAAGCCCAAGATGCAGACCAGCGGGGACATGTTCCCCACTGACTGGAGTCCACCACCAGTAGAGTTCCTAAACCCGAGGCTACTGCAGACCCACCGGGATACCCCAGGCCAAAGGTGGGTGGGTGCTTCAGGTCCTCAGAACCTGAGAAGACTGCCCAAGGAGTTGGCGCAGGACCCCCTGGGCTTTGACCCCAAGGAGGGCCTGGGCTCACTGGAAGAGCTGTTCTGGAATATGGCAGGCCCAAGCCAGCAGGCCGTGACTCCAGAGACAGATGTTCACGCTTCGGTAGGTGGCAGCCACTTTTTGGTCTCCTGTATTTGCTGTCCTCCTTCAGCCACTCATTTCAGTTCCCTACTCCATGCCCCTCCTCTCTGCCTACCCCTTCCTCAATCATACCCATAGCCTCCTTTAGTTCCCTTCCCTTGACATCCCTGCTCTGCCACATACCCCACCCTGGGGCCCTAAGGCCAGGCTGCACCTCTTCTCTTTGTTCTGCTTCTAATTTCTGCTGACACAGTGCCATTTCTGCACAGAAGCTCCTCAAGACCTTCATGGTTAAGGTTAGGATATGGCCCTGGAGCAAGCAAGGATCTCAGTGCTGGGGTCTGGGTTCGGTTGAGCCCAGAGAGTCCGGCTGACCCTGGTCCAGCAATGGGATTCCTAATGAAAACCTCAGTGATGAATTTCAGAAAGGGAATAAAGTCCTCGTGTAAACATTGTGTGGGGACCTTTAAGATCACATGGATCCAGAGACCATTCTCTAAGAATAGGGCAGCACTTGTTTGCCATAGCCTAAGATTGTCAGTAACCTGAATGTCCACCTCTAGGGATCTAATAAAATACATCATAATATCCCAAAAGTGTTACACAAGCACCACAAATCTCTTTGATATTGATATGGAATGACTCTCAAGGTGTATTTTTTGTGGGAAGGGTACCAGGGATTGAACTCAGGCACCCAACTCTGAGCCACATTCCCAGCCCTATTTTGTATTTTATTTACAGACAGAGCCTGGTTACTGAGTTGCTTAGCACCTCGATTTTGCTGAGGCTAGCTTTGAACTTGTGATCCTCCTGCCTCAGCCTCTCAAACAAGATGTATTTTTAATTGAAAAGAACCAAGTGCAAGATAGGGTGATAGTGTTGTGTTAAGAGGGGATATCTATGATGAATTGTTGTTGTTCTTGTCTTTGTGTAAAATGTCTCTAAAAGCATTCAAGAAATGCCCACCTGTGTAGGGAGGGGCCTGGAAGGCTGGGATAGGTGACTGGGAGGCATGTTGTTGAATGCCATTGTGCTTTTTTATTTTTTTCACCATGTGAGTATATTATCTGTTCAGAAAAGGAAGCAAAATAAATAAGAGCTTAACTTGTCCCCTTGTGTCTTTGTCTTCCTTTCTTCCCATCCCCACGTTCTCTCTCTCCAGTTTGCCTCTGGGGGCTCAGAGCGCTATGTCAACAGCTTGGACTACTTACTGCAGGAGAAGAGGTGAGTGGAGGGGCATGTCTGTGGGGTTGGCAGCACTATAGCACTCAGAGCAAATCCATCTGAATGAAGCAGTCTTCCCTGAACAGACACAGTGCGCCCGTGTGCACAGATTCATAACCAGCAAGTGGAGTGGAGCTGTGCCAAGAGTGGCATCTCTGAGCAGGGCGCGTCACCCCCCCACCATGGACAGCACCCTTGTCCAGGTGCTTCTTGGCTTCCTTATGCCCAAAGACTGGAAGTGTTCAGTTAGTAGGGAGTGGAAAATGGACAACTGTGCCTGTGGCCTCAGGAGTCATGCTGGGCAGCACTTCCCCTGCCCTGTCCCGCCCCAGCATGGAAGCTCGCTTTCCCCTCGCAGGCTGGCTGCTCACACCTGCCCTCTCACAGTGGAGCCACACCTTGTCACAGGTGGTTCTGGATCACTTCTGGCTGGCTTTCCCACCCTCTGTCTTCAGCAGCTTCTAGAGGCAGGATCCCCGGGTGATGAGGATCGCAGATGCATCAGGGAGGTTCAGTGGCGTTGGGACCAGCCGCTGTTGCTGATGGCTGAATGCCAGCTGGGGAGGTCGGCTGGCCCTGGTGAGCCCGTGGGGTGGAAAGGCTGGACCTGCTGGCCGGAGTAGACCCTCTCTCATCTGGGAGCGGCCTCAGCAGCTGCTCCTGTGCTGGGGTCATCTTCCCAGGCTACTCTTTGATGGCATGTGAGCAGATGCTCGTGTGACCTAATTCTTCTCTGTCCCCTCTCCTGTCTGTTGGGTCGTGTTTCCTCAGTGTGCGTGGTTGGGTTGCGTCTGCAGAAGCTGAGTGTAGACGGGGCAGTTCATGCTTAGGGCTCTGGCCTCACGGCTCCACTGGGCACTCAGGCCGGAGACTTGATTTTCCCAAGTTCCTGGCTCTGCCTTCTTGCCTACAGGTGGGCGTTAAACACACATGTGAGACTGATTACTGCTTTCTCTGCCTTTGTCCTTTTCTGGCCCTCTGCCTCCACCCACAGAGCGGGCCTTCCTCCCTCCTCCCAGCTCCTCTGACTTTTGTTTAGCTTCCTGAACCTGAGTATTTCCTCCCAGCCAGATGGCAGGTCAGGGAAGGAGCCTTGTCTATGTATTTCCATGGTGCCGAGCACTGGGCCCTGAATTCATAGATACTTGAAAATATCGACAGGAAAGTGAATGCTTATAGAGAACCCATACCTAGCTATCAGTGTGCCAAGCAGTGGGAGATTCTTGCTCTTTTCCGGCCTGTTCAGTAGCACACCTGGGGGCCTTTCAACAACAGGCAGTTATTTCAAGTGGGAAGTTCAAGATCAAGACTCTGGCCACTTGGGTTACTGATTCAGGTTGTTCCTGTTTTACAGACAGCCACCTTCTTGCCATGTCCTCATGTTGCAGAGAAAGCAAGCTCTCTGGTTCCTCTTGTTATAAGGACACTAATTCTATTGGACCAGGGTCCCACCCTATGACCTCATTTAGCTTTAATTATTTCCTTACTCCAAATTCAGCAACCCTGGGGTTTAGGGCTTCATGAATGGGTGGGCCGAGGTGTGGACATTTTCAGTGCATGGCACACCAAGCACTGGGCCTGGGCCAGGCACTGGACATGTGGAGCACCTGTTCACCTGGAAATGGAACAGAATGGATGTGGTATTTCCTAGTCTCTGGAGCTACTATGGGGGGCCCAAAAGAACACTGCTTACTTAATCTGGAGGTCAGGAAAGGCTTCCTGAAGATGTTCTTGTCCTTGACCCTTGCAGGATAATAAGTTTTGTTTGGGAAGGATAAGCCCTGTGTAAAGGCAGGTGGGACAGGCCAGGCTGCTCCTGGCCAGCAAGGATAAGAGTCTCCTCATTGAGGAGTGGGAGGAAGGAGGCAGGAGATACAGTTGAGGTAGTAAGGGGGCTGGATGGCTTGTAAGCACAGGTTGAACCGTGGGAGAATTTTAAGCAGGCACAGATGTGTTTAAAAAAGAACATTCTGGTGGCCTTTGGAGAACTGGTGGCTCACATCAGGAAACCCTGGGAGGAGCGTGAGGGACCTCTGATAGCTCTGTGGCTTGAGTAGCCAGGAAGTTGGGGGCCTTTGTGGGAAAGAGGAAGGCACACCTGGCCATATCATACTCAGCTGGAAATCATCTAGTTAGTGGTAATAGAAGGATCTGAGCGCTTGAGAGAGGCCTGGGTTGGAGAGAGAATATTTCAGAACTGATAGCCCATGGTACCTTATAGCCCATGCTGCTGCTACAGCACCACCCTGACTTCACCTGGGATCTCCTGGCAGGTACTTGGAGGGGCTAGAGTGGGGCTGGGGAGGCACGGACAGTGGAAGCTACAGGACAAACCTTACACTCAGGGTTTGCAGGGTGGTTAGGGAATGTCTTGGGCCATTTTCTGTTGTAGGAGTAGAATAGCTGAGATGGGGTGATTGTAAAGACCAGGGTATTTTGGCTTGAAGCACTGGAGGTACACAAGCACCTGCCAGCATCTGGTGAAAGCCTTGTGCTGCTGCATGTGTGGCGGGAAGGTGGGGGCCACACAGAAGAGAAAAGGGGCAGAGCTCCCGTGAGAGCCAAGAAGAGCTTAGTCTTTCAGAGGCCGTACCCCCTTGACTAGCACCTTTTACAGGGCCTCCACCTCTCAGTACTGTCACACTGGCCTTCAGATTTTAGCATGAGTTTTGTTGGAGCCAAGTCATAATCAAACCACAGCATGGAGTCAGAGCCCCAGCAAGATAATGGTGCACACAAGGGGCCTGTGGTCACAACTGGTTGGAAGTAAACAGGGCTCCAGGCTATTGCAGGACAAGGGACAAAGGGTTGGGAGACACAGGGAGTGAGCAGGGGCTGGAGGGCTCTTGCTATCTGTGACTGGAGAGCCAGACAGTGAGTCAGGGACACCAAGGAGCCCAGGGCGTGGTTCTGCCCGGTTGTGCAGCTGGACCTGTGGGAGCAGAGGAGCCAGGCTCAGGCCTAGTGTGTTTAAAAAAAAAAAAAAAAAGAGTGAACTCCAAAACAATGTCCACAAAGCTACACATAACATTGAGTATCGGAACCCATCTTCCTTCAGGCCTATCAACTCATCTCTTCTCGCTGGAGGCAGCACAGTGCGTGGATGCAGTGACTCCCACACCCCCCAAACTCAGACCCGGGTGCCTTCCTGCAGGGAGACCAGTGTGACTCAGCCTCTGCTTCCTAGCCTTGTAGGTGTATAGGGGTGCTTACAGCCTGGTGATAGGCTCTGGCTTTTTCCCCACAGGGAGCAGGCCTGGGAGCAGGAGCGGGAGAAGCTGCTGCTGCAGCACCACCCTGACTTCACCTCGGATCTCCGTGAAGACGAAGTGCCACTCACCCCCGAACACAGGTGCCAGGCCGGGGCCTCCTGCAGGTGTGGTCAGAATTTCAACCAGCAATTTGTAGCTCTAAAGCAGAATCCTACTTTTATAGCCACATTCATTCATTGATTCAAGAAATATCTGATCAGCTGGTGGGCATCAGGGTCCAGTCTGGGCTTAGAGGACACAGATCATAAAACACAGCCCAGTTAACTGTCCAAGTTCACGAAACCAGATCTCTTTGGAAAATAGCTACACGAAACCACATAACTGAAAACTGCCTTTCAGGGGGATTATGGCCACATGACTTTTTTTTTTTTAAATCTTCCTGTCTGGGGAAAGAAAGTGACTTTGTCAGTGCTTTCATCTGGGTCAAGGCTGTGTTGGCCCTGGTTTAATTGGGCTGTTGGCTGGAGGGAGATCTGGATTCATTTGTACAACAGGGTCTGGGTCTTGGAGATGCTTAAGACCACAGTTGAATCCTTTTTCTTTTTTTTTTTTTCCATACTGGGGATTGAACACACAGGCACGTAACCACTGAGACACTTCCCTAGCACTTTTTATATTTTATTAGAGACAGGGTCTTGCTAAGTTGCTTAGGGCCTGACTAAATTGTTGCTGAGGTTGGCTTTGAACTCATGATCCTCCTGCCTCAGCCTCCCTAACTGCTGGGATTATAGACGTGTGCCACTATGCCAGGCTTGAATCCGTCTTTAGGGTCTACTGTTTTCATCTGCCTTATTTTTTTGAGCTGCCGTGGCAGAGCACCATGGACTAGGTGACTTGTGAAGAACCGAAACGTTTCTCAAGCTCTGGAGACTGGGAGTCCAAGACCAGGATGCCCTGCCCGGATGCTCAGGCTGCACAGGGGGCCCTCTTCCAGGCTGCAGAGCACTGATGTCTTGAGTCCTCACTTAGCAGAAGAGGGCTAGAGAGCTCTCACTAGTCCTGTTCACAGCGGCCCCAAACTCATGATCTGATCACCTCCCACAGGCCCCATCTCCCAGTTACCTTGAGGGTTGGGATTCCAACATCTGAATTTTGGAGAGACACATTCAGTCTGTCACACCATTCATCCACCCATTTGTCCATCCACTCACACATTCATCCAACAGATGTTTATAGAGTGCCAACCTGTGCCAGGCGGCTAGATCCTGAGGATGTAGCAGGAGTGAAACCAGACTGCTGTCTGCCCTGATGACGCTGGAGTCAGGGTAGGAAGAGGAACAGTGAACAAGATAAATGCAGCCGTGACAAGTGCTCAGGAGAGGGGGCGCACAGAGGCCAAACGGGGGTTTGGAGGAGGCAGGCGCAGAAGTCTTCCCATGAGAAGGTGGCTTTCAGGAGACCCCTGAGAGGGGAGAGCAGCTCGGGCCTGTGGTGGGAGTGCTCCTAGCATGTTGGGAGCAGTGGGTGGGGGCCAGGAGGTTGGGGAGGCTGGTGGTAGGCACCCACTTCACAACTCTTCCCCCACGTGAGCTGCTATAGTTGATGTGACATGCATCCAGAGGAGGCACCTGTGGCTACTCTGTTGGGTGGGCTGTGAGGACAGGCAAGGGCAGCAGGGAGAGAGCAATGAGGGTGTGCTGGGAAAACTAAAGCATAAGCATCCTTCCCTTCTGTTGTCACCACACTCAGCTCAGGAGATATGACTGCCCTCCCCGCCCCAAAGGCAGAGACCCCACAGGGTGCCCTCAGGCCAACTCAGCTCTGACTCCACCTACCCAGAGATAGTGGCCACAAGGGTCCCACAAGGGGAGGGCTCAGCCATAAGACTGCTTGCACCTCCGTGCCATTGCAACGCTGGCTGCTGCACTGTCCCCCAGTGACTGGGCATAAGTCAGGCTTCCTGCAAGCCCTCCTTGGGTTTGGCTTGACTTGCTGGTGGCTCATGGAACTCAGGGAAATGTGTGTTGCCCAGTTTACTGTGAAGAATGTTAAAAAGGATGCAGTTGAAGAGGTGCTGAGTGAGGTTGGGGCAGGCGCAGCATCCAGCCCTCCCTGGGCAGCAGCCCTCCAGGGACCTCCACACGTTCAGCCCTCCAGAAGCTCTCTGCACCCTCGTCCTTCTGGGTTTTCTGGAAGCTTCATGGCATAGACAAGATTTCTGATAGACCAGGTGGGGAAGCCCAGCGAGGGCTGTGTGGTCAGCTGCCTTTCTCCAGGGTGTGGGCAGGATCCTCAGGAGCCAGGAGGGTCTTATGACCTCTGATCAGACAAAGGAGGTCACAGAATATCTCTGTGGCCAGCTGGGGCAGGGAAGGTCGGTGTTTCTTTGATCCTTGGGGGATACCTTAGGGAGGAAAAATTCTAGCTTCCGCGCTCTTCCTCAGGGAAGGAGTTTAGAACCAGGAAACATGGACGAGAATTGTGGTTGGGGAGGTGCAGGAAAGTTCTGGATATGTTTTCAAGATAGAACTGAGAGAATTTGCTGACAGGCTAGATTAAGGATATGGCAAAAGGAGGGAATCTAGAAGGGAACCCCAAGTGTTTGGCCCCAACAGCTAGAGGTTAGGAGTATCTTTAAATGGGAAGACTTAAGTGACCACAGGATAGGTTGGGGTTGGACATGAGGTCAAGAATCACTTGGGGAATTCTAGGGGCAAGATTGGCAGGTGGCTTGGAGCATGAGCCTGGGAGTTCTGTGTGGAGGTGGCATTTGCTGCCTCGAAGCTAGATGAGAACAAGTACCCCGGGGAACAAGTACCTGAGAAGATCAGGGCCCTGAGCACCTAGAGGCCATCAGCAAGAGCAGAAGAGGACGCTGTGTGGTCTGGAGGGAAACCAGCTGCCAAGTACTGGCAACCAGTGGTCAAATCAGGGCGATTGAGAAATGACCATTGCATTTAGCAAAATAGTGATCATGGTGACCTTGACAAGAGCAGCTCTGGTGGGCTGCTGGGGTCAGGCCTGACTGGAATAGATTCATGGAGGACAGGAGAGTGAGATGGGCAGTGGCTGGAGGAAGTGGGGTCAAGGTACGTTGGTGGGTTGTTTGGTTAGTTGGTTGGCTTCTTTCTTTCTTGGGGAAAATAACAGCATGTTTCTGTGCTAATGGGAATGCTGTGGGAGAGGGGGCATTGAAGTTGGAGTGGAGGGGGTCTTCAGGATCCCTGTGCCCTAGAGTAACCCCTGCCATTGGTCTGGCTGAGTGCTATCCAGGCTTTTTTTTTTTTCCCTTTAGCACTGGTCCAGCCTGTTATGGGCAAAGCTTTGATAAGTGCTCAATGTTCTGTGTCCATTTCCAAAGGGGTTGTTGAGTGATATAAAATGTACATGTCCTCAGAGCCTTGCTCTTAGGATCCCCAAAGAATTCACACCATTCTGATTGCTCAAAGGTTATTGTAAGGCTGTGCACATGCCTGTAATCCCAGCAGCTTAGGAGGCTAAGGCAGGAGGATCACAAGTTCAAAGCCAACTTCAGCAACTTAGTGAGGCCCTAAGCAATTTAGCAAGACCCTCTCTCAAAATAAAATATAAGGAGTGCTGGGGATGTGGCTGCATGGTTAGGCACCCCTGAATTCAGTCCCTGGTAAAAAAAAAAAAAAAAAAAAAAAAGATCATGAGCAACACCATGGCTGGCCATTTGTCTTTTTTTTGACATTTTCTGATAATCACCTCTGCACTAGACCAAATATCAGCAGATTCTTACTGTGAAGTTTGTGGAGTCAATGTAACTTTAAGCCTGTGATTCTCTGTAGCAGAGGCTGGACTCTGCTGTTTTTGGGTGAAAACTGCCACAGACAGCAGATCGGCGCGTGGGCCTGTGCATGCTGGCGTGGCCGGCCTGGCCTCACTTAAGAGGACCTGCTGTTAACCCAGGAAGGCCCATTCTGCCTGCCACCCAGTACGCCAGCCACCGAAGCAATGGGTTTTGCAAAAGAAAAGGAGTTTATTCAGAAGGCAGTCCCAGGTTCACACATGAGGAGCCCCACTGAAGTCCACCTCACCCAAGGGTAGGGTTTAGGGGTATTTATGGATAGAAAGAGTGATCTGAGAGACTGGAGCAGTAGGACAGTGATGGGAGGCAGGAAAAGTGAACCATCCACAGTCTGTGCAGGTACCATCAGCTACCCATTTCTTCATGGGACCCATGTTCAGAAAATGGCTGCATTAGCTGCTCTGAGTGTGGAGTTTGCAGCCCTCTGATGTCAAAGGTCACCCATCAGACAGTCACCTGTGCAGGAGCAAGTGCAGATCCGTGGTTTCAGCTGAGTTGAGGAAGGGAGACAAAAAGCTGTCTGAAGATTTTTGAACAACTTGGGCAGCTGTGACCATTGTGACCCTGTCAGACATCATCTGTTGCAAGGTCACACCACTTGGCTAAAGACCTTTCAATGAAAATAGAAGGGAGTGGCTAAAAGCAAGAACAGCGAAAGGTTGTGTCCAGGCTCCCCTGGGCTTGTCTGGATGGTGGGAAGTCTGGGAACTCATTGGGATTGGAACCATTGTCCCAGATAATCAGGCAGAGCTTCTTGCATAGTGCAGGAGATCCAGGGCAGGGCTGCCGAGAAGTGCCCCCTTGAATTCCAGGAGGGCAGGTGCTGGTGCTGCCTGATATCCCAGCAAATTCAGGGCTTCCCTCTCAAGAAGGCCTTGTGGTACCCCACGTGACCAGGGCCATCTTCTCTGTGAGCTGAGGCATGGATTGGGCTTCTGGCTTCCCACTTGCTGGATAGATAGGCTCTGAATGGAACCTCTCAAAACCTTTGTAAGCTCTGAATGGAACCTCTCAAAACCTTTGTAAAATCTCTGTAGCAAGAATAACTGTTGCCATTGTTCCCTCTGACCACATCTAGGATGCTGTAAGTCAGGGCTTGGAGGTTTCACAGTTCCTCACTTTAGAAAGGGAGTTATCTGTGTAGCCAGCTTAAAGCAGGAGATACTCCTGGCTTTGAAATCACTGCTGGTTTTCTGGGCTCGTGACGTTTTCCAGTGGTGCTTTGAGAATGCCTCTTTGACAACAGTCACTTTGAGGTGGTTGTTTTGATGTGGGATCATTCTGATGGGACTGTTCAACCTGATGCCTAAAAAAGAAAAAAGGCAACTCATTACAAAGCCCAGCGGCCTATTCTGTCTCTGAAGAGGCCCAGGAAGTGGTGGGGCCAGGGAACAAGCTGTGAGTCTGGATGGGGTGCAGCTGAGGTGGGGCCAGGCCCCAGACAGACAAGGCGATTAGGATTGCCACAATTGCCTGTCCCAGAAAGGACACCAAGATCCTGAGCATGTCTTCTCGTGGCCTGGGAATGGCCTGTGTCTGGAAGGGATGACATCCTAAATTCTTTCTTCAAGTTAAAAGACCTAAGTGTGTGCCAGGGCAGCAGGGGGTGGAGGGGGCTTGGGGGTGGATATTTAAAACATAGCATCATCCTTTATTGCCAGCTCCAGGCTGCACAGGAAATCCTCAATTAGATGTGTAATTGTCGTCTCAGAATGGCTAATAATGTGCATACATTATAGTCAACATCACAAAAATCCCTTTGGTTTTGGGGACAGGGCTAGGCCCCCTTCACAAATGAGCCCAGTTCTTACAGAACTTTTAATAATTTGCAAATTTTTCCTGACTATAAAAGCAATATAAGCTCTCATAAAAGTCTGATGGCAAAGACATAAGCAAGAACTCATTTTACCACTTGCATGGCAGCTTTTTATTTTTAAGTTGATGCTCGAGCTTTATTTTATTCATTTATATGTGGTGCTGAGAATTGAACCCAGTGTGTGCATGGCTGGCCAGCAGGCTGCAGGCTTCGCACTCACCTCCAGTGGAAGCTGTGGGTGTCCCAAATCCTGATGAGCCCCTGAGCTGTTCCTAAGTTTGCTGTCTCAGACAGCAGGCCTAGCTGGGAACCTGGCTGGGCATGGACCGTCTTCTGGAGAGAAGAGGGAAAGCAGTGTATACAGCTTATTTCGTTTTATTGTTGTTAAATGTATGTTATATTACTACAACATTAAGCAGAACCATCATATATGAAGTAAACAGAACATGTCTACTCTTCTCTCTCCTCACCCTGATCCTGTCCCCTAGGGATGATTGTTCTAGATCACAGTGGGGTATGTCTTGTATGTCTGAGTAGATTTGTATTCTTGTATACAAACATGTAGATATTTCCCCCTTACCCATGTTTCACCTTCCATAGTGTCAGTACTTGCCCATAGTCAACTGCTCTCTGATAATATTAACTAGAAAGTTCCAAAAATAAACAATTCAGTTTTAAGTTGCACATCATTCTAAGCAGGGTGAGGAAATCTCATGACGTCCTGCTCCATCTTGCTCAGGACATGAATCATCCCCTTGTCTAATGTATCCACACTGTATACACTACTCACCAATTAGTTAAGAATTGGATTATCTGATTGACTGTCACAGTATTGTAGTGCTTGTGTTCAAGTAACCCTAATTTTATTTAACAGCAGCCCCAAACTTCAGAGTAGTAGTGCCAGCTAATCAGATATGCCAAGGAGATAGTATGAAGTGATTCCTTTAAGTGAGAGGATGAGCATTCCCAATAAGGAAAGAAAAATTATTTTCTGTGTTGCCAAGATCTGGAATGGAAGAATGAATCTGTGGAATTAATAGTTTTGCTTTCACACCTCAAACTGCATAGATTACAGCCACGGTGTGTGATAAGTGCTTATTTATGGAAAACACAAACTATAGCATTCGATACTATATAAGTAAGGTTCCAGGCATCCACTGGGGGTCTGGAAGCATATTCCACAGGGGCAAGGGGTATGACCATGCATGCGCGTGGGCGCACACACACACACACACACACACACACACACACACACACACACACATCCTGTTCTGCAGCTTGCTGTTTCTACCCACCAGTGTACAGTAGTCAAGTGTCCATGCCAATCTGTCATGTAGAGATTTAGCTCACTGTTGGGAACCATCTGAAAGCCTTCCTTTTCCCATCCCCGTTTCAGAGGGTCCCCTCTTCCCTTTTCCTTCCCTGTTCATGGGCACAGCTCCAATCTACTAAATCAGACGCTTGGCAGGGATAGGCAGGCTCTGCGTTTAGCTGGAGTCAGGGGAGAATCCAGCCCTGGCAGCTGGCCTTGATGCCCTCCTGCTATCCTGTGCTTCCACCCAGCCGCTGTGGCCCCTGGGCCACTGCTTCCGCAGCCCTCCCAGGACATTCTCCCTGGCCTTGGCTGCACCAGCCCTTCTTCCCGCTCTCCCTGTTCGCACTGTGTGGGCTGCTCTGTTGTGGGTCCCTCCCCTAGCCAGTGAATACTGCAGTGAGTTTACACTTCTCTTGGTTGGCCAATGCTGATGCACCCTTCAAACCTGGCCTTGAAAACATGCAGTGAAAGTTGACCTGAGCAGAGCTCCTGGGTGGAACCGGTGCTAGCTCCCCATCCCCTGGCCCTGAAGTGGTGTTCTGATAGAGCAGGCTGGTGAGGGCTCCATGTCTACAGGTACATGGCCCTTCCTTCATCAGCAAGTAGTGCTGTCCCTCTGGTCTACAGGGGGTGCCTCTGGGCCATCCATCCTTCCCTCCATGCTCCAAGCCCAGATGTGCCTCTGACCCCTGCTCCCCTCCCTTTGCCTCTCCAGGATGCTGGTGGAGAGGTTCTCCGTGTCCCTGCAAGTCATCCCACCTGTGCATCCAGGTGAGACTGTGTTTCTGCCTAGGCGTCACCCCCTGCCCTGCATTCTGGACTCCTCACATCTAAAGCCACACAACCACCTTGAAGAACTGTTTCTCAGGTAAGTGTGTTGGTGGGGGCAAAGCCTCGCCAGGCCCCCTCCCGCTAGAGCCCAGGGATAAGGGACACCCCAAAAGAGGTCATCCAGAGCCATGTTTTGATCAATGGCTGTGTGCTCTTTTAGGGATATCAGTGACGTAGTCATGCCTGTCTACTTATAAAATTTATTAATTTAGCACAAACTATAAAAAATCTTCCACTGTTGCACAGTCTGTGAGTGGGGTACAGCATACAGGGCCTGGGTTTTACCGTTCAGTCAGCCCTGGGACCAGTTTCTGGGCCATAGGGAGCCTGTGATGGTTGCTTCCATCCACAGCAGGGCCCCCTTATCCTTAGTGTCACATTGTGGTCAACTGTGGTCTGAAAATATTATATGGAAAATTCTAGAAATAAAAAGTTCATTGATTTAAGTTGTGTCCCATTGTGAACAGCATGATGGAATCTCAGGCCATCCTGCTCTGCTCCAACTGCAGTGTGGATCCCCTCTTGACCGGTGAATCCACACTGTGTTCCAGTTGCCCATGAGTGTCCTTGTAACTGTCACTGTCTTCAGAGCTGCTGTTACAGGGTCCCAGTGTGTTCAGGTGACCTCTGCTTCACAAGAGCAGCAATGCTGGGAGTTCAAACGAGCCCCAGGAACAGTGAAGCATTTCCTTTAAGTGAAAAGGTGAGAGTTCTTGATTTAAGGGAAGAAAAAAGTGATATGCTGTGGGTGCTGCGAGCAGAGGTAAACCGGACCTCCATCCAGGGAGCCAGGAAGCAGAACTCTGCTAGCTTTGCCATCACACTCTTCTTGCAAAAATTTGGGCCCCCATAGTGTGTGCTAAGTGTTTAGTGAAGTTGGAAAAGGTACTAAATTGTAGGGTTTGGTACTATCTAGCATTTTGGGCTCCCATTGGGGGTCTTAGAACATGCCCCCCATGGGAATGAGGGAGCACTGTATTTGCTGGAGACGTGGCACCTCCTTGGTCTGTGGGATGCCAACACAGAAATTTTTCCCCAGCCACGGGCACACCTGATAACAGGAGGAAGCTGTCTTGTTCCTCTCCTTTTAGGGAGTAAATTATCCCCATTACACATAACCACCTACTAGATTGCTTTTTAAGAGGATTTTTAAATGATTTACCACAATAATGTTCAACACTTAGAGTTGTGAGAAAGAAAAAGTCCACGGGATTCAGTGCAATTGTAGTTTTCCGGATACCCTGCTGTGTTGGATGACAAGGGAATGTAAAAAGGGCCACCATTGGCCACTTGTAAGGAGCACAGAAGTTGGACTGCTTCTGTGGTCTCTTAGGCCACATTAAGACTTAAACATAGGAATCTTACTCTCTTTTCCAGCCATGCAGGGCTTTCTTATGAGTGTTAGTTCATTTTCCATTACAATAACTAAATACCTGAGGCTGGGTACTTATAAAGAAAAAAGCTCATGGTGGAGGCTGAAAGTCCAAACAGCATAGCACTAGTAGTGGTGAGAGCCCATAGTTGCATCATCTCATGGCAGATGGCACTGCATGGTAGGAGTTTGTGAGAGGGAAGGATCTCAGGGCCAGACTGGAAGCCAAAGAAAAGTTCAGGGAAGGATCCACTAATGACCACTTGAGGCTCCACCTCTGAAACATCCCTATACCTCCTATCATCTCCATGTTGGGGACCAAGCTTCCAAAACTCGACCCTCTAGCATACACACTCACTGTGCTAACCACGGCATTAGGTTTATTTCATTAATTCTGAGTTCATCATATTTTGTAACATAAAGATTATTCTTAAGGGCTGGGGATGTGGCTCAAGCGGTAGCGTGCTTGCCTGGCATGCGTGCGGCCCGGGTTCGATCCTCAGCACCACATACCAACAAAGATGTTGTGTCCGCCGAGAACTAAAAAATAAATATTAAAAAAAAAAAAGATTATTCTTAATATTTTGATGTTTCCTTTAAAAGTTTTTAAAATTTTCTTAATGATATTGTATTTTTTATACCTTTATTTTATTTATTTATTTTTACATGGTGCTGAGAATTGAACCCAGTCCTTCATATGTGCCAGGCAAGCACTTTACCACTGAGCCACAACTGCAGCCCCTCCTTTAAAAGTTTTTATCGTAGAAAATTGCAAACATATAAAAGTAGAGTGAACAGTGGCATTCACCTGTAATCCTAGCTACTTGGGAAGCTAAGGCAGGAGCATTGCAAGTTTGAAGTCATCCTAGGCAACTTAGACCCTGTCTCAAAATTTAAAAATTTTTTTTAAAGAACTGGGGATATAGCTCAGTGGTAGAGCCCTTGCCTAATATGTTGTGAGGCCCTGGGTTCTATAAAATAAAATTTTAAAAGGAAAATAAGAGTAAAAGTAGTGAAGAACATAACTTATCTCCATGTATCCATCTGTCAATTCAGCACGGATTAGCTCAAAGCCAGTCTTTTTCCTTTCTGCTCCACCCAACAACACCATTCCCCCAGGATTACTTTCCAGGAAAATCTCAGACACACATAATTTAATCTGTAAATATTTCAGATTATGTCTCTAGAATATAGCACTCTACTTTTAGATGTAATTTTAATACTACTATTGCACCTAAAAATAGTAATTTCTTATCATTTGTATCAGTCAGTATTAAGATGTCGGGTGTCTTGCCAGGTGAAGTGATGCAAGTGTGTAATCCCAGCTGCTCGGGAGGCTGAGGCAGGAGGATAGCAAGTTCTAAGCCAGCCTCAGCAAATCTGTGAGGCCCTAACAACTTAGTGAGACCCTATCTCAAAATAAAAAAGGGCTGGAGATGTAGTTCAGTAGTTAAGTGCCCCAAGTTCAATTCCTGGTACCAAAAAAAAAAAAGAAATTGTTTTTCAGTTGTATTTTCTTTTTAAATATATTTACTTTATTTTTATGTGGTGCTGAAGACTGAACCCAATGCCTCACGTGTGAGGGGCAAACACTCTACCACTGAGCTTTAACCCCAGCGCCTTCAGTTGTCTCATCAATGATTTTATAGGTTGTTGCCATCAGCATCTGAGCTGACCCAGGCACTGCAGCAAACAATGTAGTGCCGCTTTGCCCTGGTACCTGGACACCTTAACCATTTTCCTAGCTTTTGGACACACACATTATAAGCCACATGATGGGCATATTCTTTCACAGAAGCACTTGCCTGAAGGTCTAGAGTGTTGCTGGCAGCTATGTGAGATTATTGGGTGTGCAAGAGCATTGGTCAGGGTTCACATTACCATCTGGAAAAAGGACCTAACAGAGCTGATAAAGAAAAACTGAAGGAAAAAGAAGAAGGAAGGGTATTAGAGTTGGAGAAAGAAGAGATACAGACTCTAGGGCAGCGGAGAGAGGGAGGCTCCCTCCCTGCCTCAGCCCCTGGCTGTGCCCACAGCAGGTCTCCTGTCCTGGACTGGCTGGTGGACGGAAGTGTTGACAGATGAGCCCCATGTGGAGTGGTGACCCAGGATCAGCCAGTGCTGCCAAACAGGGCCAGGTGGCCTCCCAGCTTCCCTCCTCCCTCAGATATGCTAATGAGCCTCCAATCCTGTGGCTTTGGGAATCTGCACAGGGCTCTCTGGAGGAATGCCCTGCCCGCTGTGTAACACTGGGATGTGACATTGTCGGTGGCTCCCGCGGGGCAGTGGGCAAGGGCCACTTCCTGGAGGCCACCATTTAGCCTTGGGTCATCTTTCATTTCCTGTTTATGCCAAAAACTTCATTCAGACACAGAATGGGAAAGGTCCTAGTGACCAGCAGGACCCTGCCATATTCAGCCAGAGGGTACCAGGTCTTGCAGTGCAGAGAGTTCACACTTTGTGAGCTGGCAGGAGATTTTATATTCCTAGTTATACGCCTCTGCCTTTTCCAAACTTTCTACAATGAAGGTATAATTTTTATCATTGGAGGGAGAGAAAGTGTTATTTTTTTTAAAATCACCTCTTGAAATAGATTTACTTCTCCTTACCCTTCTATGAAGGGAGAAATATCTTTCTTTTCTCTGAACAAAGTGGGAAATGCCAGCACAGATCAAGCAAGCTGTTCACCTTGGGTCACAGAGCAGGTGCAGGTGGGCTGGGCAGCAGAGTGCAAGAGGCCTCCCTGACTGTGGCCTGCACAGGTTTGTGTGGCTGAATGTGTGACCTTGGGTCACTCCCTGGAACCAAAGTAACATATCCTAATGACAGCATTTGGTGTCAGCCAGTTCCAGGAGCTGAAGTTTTTCCTCCTTCCTTGACAGCAATTCAAAAGCAAATCAGATTCTCCCTAGTGCAGGGCATCAGAGCAGAAACGAGCTCCACGGGAAGGGAGAGGTGGCCTGCCTGGCTGGCTTGCTCACAGGCTTTCCTTAGAGTCCACACATGTCCTCTGGGCACATCTGCCACTACTGGTATGAGGGTGGGCGTGGGGCAGGGCGTTCCTGTGGGAGGACTTCAGCAGGGGGGTGAGTCCAGTCTCCTCATCTCAGTGGCACTGCGTGTACCTGCACCTTCCGGAGGCCCAGAAGCCCTGGCTCCTGTTCTGATTCGAGTACCTCCTCCTCCTGGAGGGGCCACCAGGGTTGGAGCTGTGAGTAGCGATCCACCAGCTGTGGGCTGTGGACAGGACTCAGTCCTGCTGGCTGGAAATGCCCCTAGTTATGAATAAAGCAAGCTGGGCTGGTGCTGGGAGCTCTGGGCTTCTGACCAGGTGGCTCTCTTAGCTTTAAACAGAGGAAAGAAAGAAACAGAAGAGGGGTGTAGGAGAAGGCCAGCCATGTTGTTTGTATTCTGCTTAGGCATTTACTTAAACTTTCTTTTGAAAACCTGGCGAGCGCCCAGAAACCAATACTATATAAATAACTGCCCTTGGTGTTTATCCTCCTGCCATCACTTGGGATTCGTGAGGCATTTGGAGACTGCCCACTGGGACTGCTGCCCATAAAATAGGCAAGGAGGTAGAAGCTGGAAGAATCTTCCCTTGGACATTATCAGGATCATAAATTCCAAGGAGGCCCAGGCTCTGCTCCAGCAGCTTGGTGTGCAGAACTGGGCTGGTCCCCCACTTGGTCCATGTTCATCCTGAGGGCCTCCCCTTTGGGCCAATTTTCTCCCCTTTTTTCCTTCTGTTCCAGCAGGCGGTGATGGGGAGAGACATCTGCCTTCTGTCATTGCCATCATGACTAGGGATTAGCAGTGCCCTGGCTATGGCTGGACACACAGCTGAGGCCCTCGTGGGAACCTCCCTTCACTGGGACCCTCTGGGGTGACAGCTGGGGCTTCACACTCAGCTGGGCCTGCATGCCATCTGCTGTCCCTCCCCTTCTCCACTAGGGTCCTTTGGCATTCTCAGGATAACTTTTGACCTCAGTGTTGGCAGAGGCACCCACAGGCCCCCAGCATCAGCATTTTTGTTGTGGAGATATGACACTGGCTTTTTCAAATCTGACAACTCCTGATTCTGACACCCAAGATTCTTGAGATTCTGCTGCAGACACCCCCACCTCTTCCCTTTTCCTCATCTCTCTGCTTGGATGCTGGCCTGGGGGGGCCCTTCTTCCTACCCCAGAGGCAGGGCAGTGTGCACACAGGGTCAAGCCCAAGGTTACCTGTGCTGTGAAGGACTCCCTCCCTGGCCGGGTGCAGGGCTGTCTGGGTGGGCAGCACTCCCCTTGTGCTGAACAGGTGCCCCACTTGACTCTGGGGTCCAGCCTGTGTCTCACCTCGCGCCTCGTGATCTTGTGTACTTCTGGGCCAGAATTCCTTGAAAGCCATTTGTTCCAAGGCAGAGCCAGAATATGCCCTTCCTGGCTGTCTAGTTTCTTATCTCACAGATGAAACCAAACTCAACAGCAGTGAACTCAAAAGATCTGTCATTTCTCTGGCAGAAACTGCTCTGCAAGGCCTGTGTAGCAGAAGGAAGACTTTGCGACCCAAGAGATCACTCCCTCGGTGCAACAGTTGGAAATGTGTGGCCCGAACCAGCAGGGACTTGTACTGTTGGCTCCCTCTCCAAGAAACTGGCAGGGTACCCCCAGCCCACAGCAGGATACCAGAGCCAGAGTCTCCTCAAAGTTCTCCTCAAAGTGCCTCAATGTGTGGCCTCCGGCAGGGTTCTGCCAACATGCAGGTCCCTACAGATACCCCTTAGTATCATCTGCACTCAGGCTGTAGGGCCTGTGCTTATGCCGTGCACTTTGGGGTCAGCTGGCCAAAGCACCCCTGTGACTGGGCACGTGGGGTAGCACAGAGCGTGCCCCAGCAGCCCTGGGTGTGCACGTGTTTGGGAGCCCTGAACTTCACGGCCACAGGAACAAAGCCTCTTTCTCCTCTGAACTTAAATGACTTTGAAAAAAAAAAAAAACATACAATTTGTAAATTGCCTGGACATCCTCAGGGAGACAGCATCTTGGCTCTGAGGAGAATCTTGGCTTTGGAGTGTTCTGTTCCTGGCAGATGAAAGCATGACGTCCTTTTCCAAAGGGGTGGGGGCTGAGTGAGGATGATTCTATCTCGGGTCATGACATTAAATGCTATCTGAGTGTGCTCTGCGTGGATCTGGCCACCAAAAAGAACAAACATGAAATCACTTTCTTGTTTTCCTGGAATTCACGTAGTCGTTGGGGGCATTATCTAGAAAGACAAAGTAATGGAGCAAGTATACAGCGAGTGGGAGCTCCTGCCCCGACCTGGCCTGCCTGGGGGTGACCAGGAGTTTGGGGAATGCGCCAGAGTGCGGCCAGCCCCTCTAAATTGACCTCCAAAGCATCTGCCACCAGAGAACCTCTGGCCACATCAGGTCCATCTGCCCATTCAGTGGAGACCAGAATCCTGTAGGTCAAGGTGATTTTCCAGGGCTCCTCTCCACATCAGCAGTCTGGCTCTGAGGACTCCAGTTAAAGGGAGGGGCCTGGTGGGAAGGCACTGAAGGCACTGGCAGGTCATGCCCTGATCCAGGGACAGGGAGTTTCTAAAGAATCCTCTGGGGAACCCTCACTTGGTATTTCCTTCCCAGAATTTCCCCATTCTGGGCCCCTCGCTGTTATTTTCCCATCCTCTCAGGTGTCCCCTTTGTGTCGGAAAAAAAAATACAAGATGGAGAGGAAATGCTCTGTGTAACCGAACCCAGAGGCCTGTGGGTAATCCTGCCTGCCCTCTGCAGCCCTGAGCCACAGGTGGAGAAGCCTGACTCCTCCATTCTTGCCTCACCTCACCAAGATCCTTTCCCCACCCCTGGTAAATGCCTCAGTTTTCCCCTCCATCAAATGGAAAGGGTGGACTGTACTG